GCCTACAAGGGTGCTGTCTGTGCCTCCAGGCAGATTGCACCTTATCCCCAAGTGTGCCTACCCACCTTAAGCGTGTAGCGGTTCACATCAAGGTTCTCCCACACAATGAGGATCTCCACAGCGCCCATCTCGAGCGCCTTGAGAGTGTCGTCCACGCCGAACACGTACTTGCTCCTACCGGCCTACAAGGGGACAGGCAAGCAGCATCGTATCCCATGTGTGCCCTCTCACCTTGAGAGTGTAGCGGTTCACATCAAGGTTCTCCCACACGATGAGGATCTCCACGGCGCCCATCTCGAGCGCCTTGAGTGTGTCGTCCACTCCAAACACGTACTTGCCCGTGTCCTGGCTGATCTCATCGAAGTACCGACCAATCAGGCGCTTCTCCTGGCGTGGTGGGGCGGGCACAAGGGCAGGAACCAGGCAATATGGGAAGGGGTGGGAGGGGAATGAGGGCGACGCCTTGAGCGTGTCGTCCACGCCGAACACATACTTGCCCGTGTCCTGACTGATCTCATCCAAGTATCGACCAATCAGCCGCTTCTCCTGGAGAAATGGGGAGTGGGGGAATGGGGCGCACAAGTGGGGAGGTTGGCGAGAGTGGGAAATGGCATGCCATCCGTTTCCCCTCCCCCCCCCCCCCCCAAAAAAAGGCCCAGTTTCTCGTGCTTTCCCATCGGCCGCTTCTTTTTAACTTATGTGTCGTCCTCACTTCTACCATTCACCTCACTTCTTCTTAGATCTTCCCCAATGCCCCCCCCCCCAACGCTTCTTACCCGGATAAACTCGACGTTACCCAGCAGCTCGGAACTGAGCTCGATGGCCTGGCTTTGCCTCGCCTCTCACCTCTCACCAGTGCACGCCCTCGCCCTCGGTGGGACGTCACACCGCTCTGCCTCCCACCACACCGCTCTGCCTCCCACCACACCGCTCTCCAACCCATTCTCACCTGGATGAACTTGACGTTGGCGAGGAGCTCCGCGCTGAGCTCGATGGCCTGGCTCTGCCTTGCCTCTCACCTCGCACCAACGTACGCCCTCCCCTGACCCAACCGCTCTGCATTCCATTCTCACCTGGATGAACTTGACATTGGCAAGCAGCTCCGCGCTGAGCTCGATGGCCTGGCTGAACCCGTTCTCGCCGCCGTATGACACGTCCACCACGTTCAGGATCTTGGTCTGAAGTGAGTGGGGGGGGTGATGAGGGGTACAGAAAGGTACAGAGGGGTAGAGAGGGGTGATGGGTGGTGAAGAGGGGCGATGGGGTGGCGCGCTGAGCTCAATGGCCTGGCTGGATTCGTTCTCCCCGCCGTATGACACGTCCACCACGTTCAGGATCTTGGTCTGCCGGCACAAGGGGAGTGCAGAGAGGTACAGACGAGTACAGAGGGGTACAAGGGGTACAGAGGGGGGTGATGAAGGTGGTGAATGAGGCTGAAATGAAAGAGCGAGAAGGGGAGCCGTCCAACGCGTTCAGAATCTTTGACTCGGACGAGGGGTGACGAGGGGTGACGAGGGGTGACGAGGGGTGACGAGGGGTGACGAGGGGTGACGAGGGGTGACGAGGGGTGACGAGGGGTGACGAGGGGTGACGAGGGTGACGAGGGGTGACGAGGGGTGACGAGGGGTGACGAGGGGTGACGAGGGGTGACGAGGGTGACGAGGGTGACAAGGGGTGAGCCCCCCATGCCCCCCTATTCCCCCCCACCCATACCAGCACCCTTTTCCACCGCACCGCGCCGCTCCCAACCTCACCTGCAGGCGTTGGTCAAACATATCGGATTGGCTCAGCTCCGTCTTAAACTCCGCAGCGCCCGCTACCCTCACCAGCACCCACCTCCACCACACTGCGCCGCTCCCAACCTCGGTGTCTCACCTGCAGGCGTTGGTCAAACATATCGGACTGGCTCAGCTCCGTTTTGAACTCCGCAGCGCCCGCGAGCACCAATCCCGACACGTTGATCTGCGACGTCTGCGGGTTGATAAAGAACTGCACCGCCAGCTCCGCCGTCTTGCGCACGTAGTTATGCCGCTTCTCCATGCGCAGCCGCGCGAATCGCAGCGCGGACTGCCCTCCGCGCCCGTGCTTCTTGGGCAGGTCCACCGTGAATTTATGCAGCACCTCGCGCGTGTTGCCTGAGAGCGTGCCGAAGAGCGCGCCGTTGCCGTCCATGACGATAAATCCAAATTTCTCGTCGGATTCGAGGAGCTCGTTGAGCGCCTCGGTGTGGAACTTGTTGTCGCAGAGGTACAGCGACGCGTTGATGGGTTTGAACGGCTCGAAATCGATCGTTACTTTCTTCTCCTTGCCGTCGTCTGTCACGATCGTGCCCGTGTATAGCACTAGGCCGTTGGGCGGGACCTGGCAGAGGGAGTGTGACGAGGGAGTGTGAAGAGGAAGTGTGAACAGAGAACGGGGACATTGAAGTGACGACAAGCGTCTGTGACGATCGTGCCCGTGTAAAGCACCAGGCCGTTGGGCGGGATCTGGAGGGAGGGTTAAGGAAGGTAAACGAGGGATTGGGAGAGCTTTCGAGATGAGCTTTCGAGCTTTCACAATCGTCGGACCACTAGCCCGTTGAGAAGGACCTGAGGAATGGATTGTAAGAGTCCACAACAGAATCGCCAGTAACGATCCTGCCCGTTTGTGGCACGAACCGTGAAGGGGCATGCAGGGGAGAAGAAGAGAACGAGGGAAGGGAAGAGTCATGGTTCGACGCTCATCTGGTGCTTATGCGGCTAGCGGACGCAACTTTTTGAAGAGCAGCTTCACAAGTTCACAGCACGATTCACTTGCTGCACACACTGCATCTCGCGTGAAGTCAAGATGGTGGGCGAAAGCCGAGCTACAATCGATGAAGCCGCAACGCATCGACCTTACACACACCCCCCGATCGATGATCGTTTCGGCGACCGTTCACGACAAGCCGCAACGCATCGACCTTTCTTAGTCCCTCGTCAAAAGGACACCAAAACGATGGCATCGCGTTCTATTCTGTAGTTATCGCGCGACGCCCATGGCACCTGAGTATCCGTGCAACGTTAGCGGTGTAAGTAACGTTTTCGCGTAAGCACACCTTGATTCATTGTGAAGATTATGTAAACCATAGATACCTTGTTGTAGAGCTTGAGTCGTTGTTGCGCGGACGTGATGGCGCCCAACACGGACTGCCGGTTCACGCGATTCTTAATGTTCGACGCCGTGCCGAACTCGTCGCCAAGCATCTTCGCCACTCGCGCGACCTGATCGCGCGGCGGCATGATCAGCGAAATCATGCTCGTCCCGTTTCCTCTCGCCTGCTCGAGAGCCTTAATCAGCTTCTTGATCTTCCATATTTCTATATTCTTATCGTTCTCTGGCCCACTTGCGTCCGCCATGGCGGAAAAGGAGGTGTACGAGCCGGCTTAGAAGCAGCAGCCGTGAATCACGCTAGGCACCCGAGTGCGAACTGCTGGTTGCGCAAAACCCTGATCCCTGATTAGGGTTCACGAGGAACGCAACGCAGAAAAGCAAGAACGAATCTCGATCGACAGGAGAAGCTCGAAGGAAGGAAAAGGAATTTGGGAGTTGGTAGAAAAGGTTACACGGAGAGGAAAACAGACGGGTAAGGGGGAATAGAAAAGTTTGCTTGGAAGGATTGAGAGCATTTTGGGTCGGTTTGTTGCGTTTCCAAGCGAGTATGCGCTAGAGCCGCCTGTGAAGGAGGGAGGGGCAGAGAGAAACGAGGAAGCTTGTGAAGAGGATATAGCTTCAGCGGGCGCGGTCCGTAAGATGCGATACGTGCGTGATTGGCCAAGGCGGGTATGGTCGGCTAGAGACACGAGGTTGCCACGTGTAGGGTCCGTCCAAAGAGGCTCGATTTCACAGAGGATTTCCCAGACTTTTGTCCAGTTCTTAGGGCGCGTAACTTTTTCGCTTTTAGGCCAATGTCCGGACGGAGCCTCCGAAACGTCCGAACGGAGCTCCGTCCGGACGGTTGGGGATGTGGTTCGGACGATGAAGCGTCCGTACCACAAGTGACACTTTTTTGCAGTTTCGAAATTTGAAATTCCTGCGAAACAGTAACTAGCATAAGTTACCTCGCCAGCACATCGCCCATTTCGCAAGCATGCATTTGCGGCTCGATAATGTTTGAACTTTTCAACCACTTTGTCCTCTTGCTCGTGCTACTGTGAGTACAATACACAAACAAATTGAAAGTTGGAGTGGGAAAACTGATTCTGAAAAATGTGTCTCGCGGACCAATGACGTTGCAGGGGTTCCGGACGGTCCGAAATGCTGTCCGGACGGTGTCAGTAGCGTAGAACGGACGATGAACTGACAGAAAAGTGTCAGACTTCGTACGGACGATCGCGACGTCGCGAGGGGTCTTGCGAACTGTTTGACGAACTCTGACGAATTTAGTAACCCTACAAAAGTCCGGACGGGGTCTCCGTCCGGACGATGAAAAGCGAAAAAGTTACGCGCCCTTATCCGCAATTTCGTACATGCTTCTATTACACACCCTATCAATATCACTCAGGAATAGGTAGTTTAAAAAATAATGCAGCACAACTTCATATGGAAGAAACAGATGCCAACCAGTAAACCGTGAACGAAGTTTAGAAAAAATGCATGATACAAGATGCGACATCTACAGTTAGTAATCCTATGCTCCGCCAGACACGATGTTACTTCAGCGGCAAGACTCCTCGTGAAGCACAACAAAGGAACCCCATCCAATCACCACCACACACTCACACCCACCACCTAAGTTAGTATAACCCCAAGAGGAAAAAAAAACCTAAACCCAAGCAATAAGCTCAGTTCCTTACCGCTGTTAGTCCCAAGCTTGCCGCATCCAAGATGTACCATACATCCAAGATATCCAAGATGTATAGGTGAAAGGAACACCACCTCGCGGAACCATCACAGAAGTCCCTGGGTGAGTAGAAGAAAGGCCACAGCAGGCAAGTCACCCCTCAGTCAAACCTATGAATGCACGCAGGAACGGACCGAACCTATTGGCACCTCACCTGCTGCCGAACCTGCTGCTGCCTCAGGTTCGTCCAACTCGGCCAGCCAAGCCTGACGCAAAGCTTAGCCTGCAGGGATGGGCGGCACATGGGACAGAGATGGGCGGCACATGTGAAGGAGATGGGCGGCACATGGAAAAAGATGGGTAGCACATGTGAAGGAAATGGGCCGCACATGGGAAGGAAAAGGGCGGCACATGGGAGGCTGAATTGAGACGATGGGTTAAGTGACCGAGGCACAACGGAAGATGCAACGGAAGCGTGCAGGTGAAATTATCAAAAGAAGAGTAAACAAAACTGGAAGAGAATTACAAAACACGGGGAAGAACAACAAGAGATGGGGGAGAGAAACACAAAAAAAACTCCTGAAATGCAACTTGAAGGACAACGCCAACACAGCGAGATTGATGGGTGACAGATCTTGCAGGCAGGCGGAGGGTGGGCGGGCGGGTGGGCAGGCGGGCAGTGGTCGGGCAGGCAGGTGAATGGGCGGTGGGGGGGGGGCAAGGAGCGCACTTGAGAGTGGGTCGAGGGCGCGCCTCCTGCCTCATGCTGGCATGCGCTGACCCAGGCAGCACCGCCTGGTAGAGGAGAGGAGGGTGGTAGGGGGGCCACGCGGGGGGTGGGGGAGGGCAGGGGGGAAAGGGGAGGGCAGGAGATGGCAGGAAGGTAGGGAAGAGGGAAAGAGGGAAGGGGGGTGGCAATAGCGGGGAAGAGACGACCCACAAGGCTGATGGCGGGTCAAAGAAGCTTGCTAGCCCACAACGAAGAACTAAAAAGTGCAGAAGAGAAACAAACAGAGACGCCAAACAAGCACAAAAGACAGCAGTGAAAGTGACACGCAGAAAAAGAAAAAGAAAAAGAAAAAGAAAAAGAAAAAAGAAAACGAAGAAGAAAGAAAGAAAGAAAGAAAGAAAGACAGAAAAACACGCAGGAAGCAACAGTGAGAGCACAGCAAGCAAACAACACCTCCAGTTCGTCCAGACTGCCATTGGCGCCCGCTGCCACTGCTGCTGCCTGCGGCACCTCTGCTCCCCCCGCACCCTCCACCCCTCCACCCGCCCCTCTCCCCGCCCCGTCGCCTCCTTCTGCCGCTACACCACCAGCAGCACCCACAGAGACAAGAGCAGGGGACACAGGCGAGACTCCCACTCCTGCTGCCACACCACCCGCAGCACCCACAGCCGCCGCAGCCGCAGCAGCAGAGGCAGAAACAGCAGCGGCAGCAGCAGGCGTGAGCGCACGCTTCGCCTCCCCCTGCTCCCCGCCCTCCTCCGCGCCTCGCTTCCCCAACACCCTCCCCCCTCCATTCGCAGGCGACACTCCCCCCACCCCCTTCTCCTTTTTCCCCGACCCCTTCCCCCCTCTGGACGCCCGTCGCGGCTTCACACCGCCCGGGAAGACAAACAGAGGCAGCTGCTTGCGCTTGAGGTACAGCACATCGATCCCCATGCCCTCTCGCCACGACTGAAAGCTCTCCACCGTGCTCTTAAAATCATCCACTGTGTATCGAATGTCAAACTCCCTCGCCCCACCGCCCGCACCGGCGCTCCCGCCGTCCTCAGTGAAGGTGTTTCCAGGGGTGCCGGGGGTGGTGGGAGTGGGGGTGGGGGGGGCGCGGCGCTGCAGCCCCATGTAGAAGAGGCAGTGCGGGTAGGAGCGGGCGGGGTCGTGGATCTCACACACGTGCGGGTGGCACTGGAGCAACCCATCGGTATGCCGCTCAATCTGATGGGGGGAGGTGAATGAGAGGGGGGCCGATGGGGAGAAGAGGAAGTCATGACACAGGGCACAAGGCGGCGTTGCAACCCCATGTAGAAGAGGCAGTGCGGGTAGGAGCGGGAGGGGTCGTGGATCTCACACACGTGCGGATGGCACTGGAGCAGCCCATCTGTGTGCCGCTCGATCTGGAAGGAGGGGAGCGGGGGAGGGGGCGAATGGTGGAGGGTACGTGACAGGGGGTGAGCGGACGGGTTGTTCAAGACATTGATGGCACGCAGAGCACAAGGGCGCGTGGGATGCCGGGGGTGCCGGGAGTGGGGGTGGGGGGGGCGCGGCGCTGCAGACCCATGTAGAAGAGGCAGTGCGGGTAGGTGCGGGAGGGGTCGTGGATCTCACACACGTGTGGGTGGCACTGGAGCAGCCCGTCTGTGTGCCGCTCGATCTGATGTGCGTGAGAAGCGGGTGGGGGGAGAGAGAAGACATGACAGAGGGCAGGGCCACACAGCACACAGCGGGGTCGTGGATCTCACACACGTTCGAGTGGCACTGGAGCAACCCGTCCGTGTGCCGCTCGATCTGATGGGTGGGTGGGTATGGGGTGGCGGGTGGCGGATGGGATTGGATTGAGATGCCCCAGAAGCCGTTGGTGAAACGCCGTTGCCGTAGCTTGAGCAGCAGCTGTGCACTGCGGGGTTGGGGAAACGCCACGTGATAGAAGTGGATTTTTTAGACATCTAAACAATTCACTCCTATCACGTGGCTGTTCCAGAAGCCGTTGGTGTGATGTGATGCTTGAGCAGCAGCTGTGCACTGCGGGGTTGGCGTTGGGGAAACGATGGGAAGTGGAAGGGTGTTGGGGTTCAGAGGTTGCCGGGACTCATGTCGATGAGTTGAAGTGGACGGATGGACAACACAGAGAGAGCAGAACCACACACATGCACACACAGACGCACACGCACACCTACACCCACCCACCCTGGTAACAAGCGTGCGAAGCCGTGATTCCACCCAGCCCTTCCACTTGAGCATGTCGGCATCGCTGGCAGCACTGATGTCGATCTGAAGGTAGTGGTTGTACGCCTCAAAGAAGGGGGCCAGTTGCTGGATACGACCACACCCACCCACCCACTAACCCACCATCTCCCCAACTCCCTCAGGTCACACGCACCCTAGTGACGAGCGTTCGAAGCCGGGATTCCACCCAGCCCTTCCACTTGAGCATGTCGGCATCGCTGGCAGCACTGATGTCAATCTGAAGATAGTGATTGTACGCCTCAAAGAAGGCAAACGGCTCAAACAGCTCCGCCCACTCCGCCCTCTGCTCCCCCGTCCCCCCTCCGCCCGCCCCCCCCACTCCCCCCACTCCTCCCCCCGCTCCCCCCGCCGCCGCCCCACCCCCAACCGCCCCTTCAATCCGATCGCAAATCTCCTTTCCGCGCCGAAACTCATCCTTCATAACCCTTAGCGTGCTCTCCGAGACATTATAACTACTGTTCATGCACGGGTACGCGGGGGTGATGATCGGCATGAGGTGCAGAGCATCACGGGGGTTGCGGCGGGGGTCCCAGATGGGGAAGTTAAAGCCCATGACTCCGTGGTCGATGACGGTGAGCATGATGGGCAGCGGCCACTGCCAGAGCGTGTAGAAGCGGAAGAAGCGAGCGACCAGCATGGATGGGGCGGCGTTGGGATAGAGTTGGCACACGCGGCCCGCTAGGATCGCCCAGTTCACCCCGCCCAGAAACCCCGCGACCTGGGAGAGGGGAGGAGAGGAGGAGAGGAGAAGAGGGAGGGGGTGTGAGTGAGGGAACGGAGCATAACGGGAAGTTAAAGTCCATGACGCCATGGTCGATGATGGTGAGCATGATGGGCAGCGGCCACTGCCAGAGCGTGTAGAAGCGGAAGAAGCGTGCGACCAGCATGGAGGGCGCCGCGTTGGGGTAGAGCTGGCACACGCGGCCAGCCAGTATCGCCCAGTTCACCCCGCCAAGGAACCCCGCGACCTGTTGGGAAGAAGGAAGGGAGAGAAAGCGTGTAGAAGCGGAAGAAGCGCGCCACCAGCATGGAGGGGGCGGCGTTGGGGTAGAGCTGGCACACGCGGCCTGCCAGGATCGCCCAGTTCACACCTCCCAGGAACCCCGCCACCTGCACAGGGGACGGGGAGAAGGGGAGGAGGGGGGAGCGGGGGAGGAGGGGAGAGGGGAGGAGGGGAGGAGGGAAGGAGGGAGGAGAAGAGGAGGCGGGCAAAAGAGGAGGTGAAGGGGGTGTGAGGAGGGGAAGTTAAAGCCCATGGCGCCGTGGTCGATGATGGTGAGCATGATGGGCAGCGGCGAGCGTGTAGAAGCGGAAGAAGCGAGCGACTAGCATGGAGGGGGCGGCATTCGGGTAGAGTTGGCACACCCGCCCTGCTAGGATGGCCCAGTTCACTCCGCCCAGAAACCCCGCGACCTGTTTTGGGGAGGGGAACGGGGAAGGCGGAAGGGGGGGAGGAGCGGGAAGGGGGGGGGAGAGGAGGGGAGGAGGAGATGAGAGGGCGCGTGTCAAGGCGGCCACTGCCAGAGCGTGTAGAAGCGGAAGAAGCGAGCGACCAGCATGGAGGGGGCCGCGTTGGGGTAGAGTTGGCACACGCGGCCCGCTAGGATCGCCCAGTTCACCCCGCCCAGAAACCCCGCCACCTGTTAGTGAGAAGTGGAGGGAATGGAGGGAAGAAGCGAGCGACCAGCTTGGAGGGCGCCGCGTTGGGGTACAGCTGGCACACGCGCCCCGCCAATATCGCCCAGTTCACTCCGCCCAGACCGGCGACCTGCACGAAGGGAGGGTGGGAGGAGAGGAAGGGAGAGAGAGGGGGAGGAGGTGGGGGAGGGGGAGTGGGTGTTGCTGGAGAGGCCCAGGAGCGGCACGCCCTGCTAGGATCGCCCAGTTCACCCACCTCCTAGCGGGGCGATCCTAGCGGGGCGATCCTAGCGGGGCGATCCTAGCGGGGCGATCCTAGCGGGGCGATCCTAGCGGGGCGATCCTAGCGGGGCATGCCGCTCCTGGGCTTCTGGAGAAGCCCCCCAGAACCCTGCGACCTATTTTTGAGGCGCCTCAGAAATCCCCCCAGAACCCTGCGACCTAAAGAAGGGGAGGCGGGCAGGGGGAGGGGGGCAGAAGGGGGAGGAAGGAGAGGGAAGGGTGGGCAGGGGAGGGGAGGAACAGAGGGGGAGGAGGCTTTCAGAGCAACGAGCGGTGAAGAGAGAGGCAGAGGACAAGGCGAGATGCGGGTTGGGCCCATGGTAGTGGCAATAATTCCACACTAGGACCTGGGAGCCAGCACAGCACAGCTTAACGTGCAAGCCTACAAAGAGGGTGTGCTGCAGGTGCGAAGGGGGGGGGGGGGGGGGGGGGGGCGGACTGGAAGTGCACTATTGGAAGATTTGGAGTGGGATAAGTGGGGAACGGGTGCATCAGTAGGAGCGACAAGGGATGGAGGGCGGGGAGGAATGCGGGGCGGGGAGGAGTTAGGGACGTGGAGGAACGAGGGGCAACGCAGCAGGAGCGACTCACGTTGGAATAGACGCCTCGCTTCTTGGCCCAATGCTTCATGCACCTCAGTGTCAGGCGAAACGTCTGCACTCCATGGTACAGCGCACATGGCACACATGGTACATGGCACACATGGTACATGGCACACATGGTACATGGCACACACGGCATACATGGCACACACGGCACACATGGCACACATGGCACACATGGTATGGTACACATGGCACACACGGCATACATGGCACAACGGCACACATGGCACACATGGCACACACGGCATACATGGCACACACGGCACACATGGCACACATGGTATGGTACACATGGCACACACGGCATACATGGCACAACGGCACACATGGCACACATGGCACACACGGCACACATGGCACACACGGCACACATGGCACACATGGCACACATGGTATGGTACACATGGCACACATGGCACACATGGCACACATGGTATGGTACACATGGCACACATGGCACACATGGCACACATGGTATGGTACACATGGCACACATGGCACACATGGCACACATGGCACACATGGCACACAGGCACACATGGCACACACGGCACACATGGCACACATGGCACATGTCAGACGGCACACAACACACAGGGGAACATGAGACATACCCCACACAGCGCAGCACACAGAGCAACCAGCGCAGCGCACCCCCTCCTCCCCCTTTCCTCCCCCCCATTTCCTCCACCCCCCGCCTTTTTCCTCCCTCCCCCACCCCACTTTTCCTCCCTCTCCCACCCCCCTTTTTCCTCCCTCCCCTCCCTCCTCCCCCCACCTTCCCTTTCCTCCCCCCTCGTCCCTTTCCTCCCTCCCCTTCCCTCCCCCCCCTCTCCCCCCCCCTTCCTTTTCCCTCCTTTCCTCCATGTTGCCCCTACCTCAATATTGGGCACGAGCTTGAGGATCTGGTTCATCACGCAGCACCCTTTGAGCTCCTGTTGAGCGACCATTCCTGAGACGCAATGCAACCGCGCCCTTCCCCGCCCCTCCCCTCCCCTCCCCTACCTCAATATTGGGCACGAGCTTGAGGATCTGGTCCGTCACGCGGCACCCTTTGAGGAACCATTCTTGGGAGGCCTTGAAACCCCTCCCCTCCCCTCCCCTCCCCTCCCCTCCCCTCCCCTCCCCTCCCCTCCCCTCCCCTCCCCTCCCCTCCCCTCCCCTCCCTCCCCTCCCCTCCCCTGCCCTGCCCTGCCCTCCCCTCCCCTCCCCTCCCCTCCCCTCCCCTCCCCTCCCCTCCCCTCCCCTCCCCTCCCCTCCCCTCCCCTGCCCTCCCCTCCCCTTCCCTCCCCTCCCCTCCCCTCCCCTCCCCTCCCCTCCCCTCCCTGCCCTGCACGCACGCTCAAGGTTTGCCATACCTCGATGTTCGGCACGAGCTTAAGGATTTGATCCGTGACGCGGCACCCATTAAGCGACCATTCCTGGGACGCAATGAAACCCCTCTCCTCCCCGCCCTCCCCTACCTCGATGTTGGGCACGAGCTTGAGGATCTGGTCCGTAACTCGACACCCGTTGAGGGACCTTTCCTGGGAGGCCCTCAAACAACTCCCCTCCCCACCCCTCCCCTCCCCTCCCCTCCCCTCCACCCTGCACATACCTCGATGTTGGGCACGAGCTTGAGGATCTGGTCCGTAACTCGACACCCGTTGAGGGACCTTTCCTGGGAGGCCCTCAAACAACTCCCCTCCCCTCCCCTCCCCTCCCCTCCCCTCCCCTCCCCTCCACCCTGCACATACCTCGATGTTGGGCACGAGCTTGAGGATCTGGTCCGTAACTCGACACCCGTTGAGGGACCTTTCCTGGGAGGCCCTCAAACAACTCCCCTCCCCTCCCCTCCACCCTGCACATACCTCGATGTTGGGCACGAGCTTGAGGATCTGGTCCGTAACTCGACACCCGTTGAGGGACCTTTCCCCGGGAGGCCCTCAAACAACTCCCCTCCCCTCCCCTCCCCTCCCCTCCCCTCCCCTCCACCCTGCACATACCTCGATGTTGGGCACGAGCTTGAGGATCTGGTCCGTAACTCGACACCCGTTGAGGGACCTTTCCTGGGAGGCCCTCAAACAACTCCCCTCCCCTCCCCTCCACCCTGCACATACCTCGATGTTGGGCACGAGCTTGAGGATCTGGTCCGTAACTCGACACCCGTTGAGGGACCTTTCCTGGGAGGCCCTCAAACAACTCCCCTCCCCTCCCCTCCACCCTGCACATACCTCGATGTTGGGCACGAGCTTGAGGATCTGGTCCGTAACTCGACACCCGTTGAGGGACCTTTCCTGGGAGGCCCTCAAACAACTCCCCTCCCCTCCCCTCCCCTCCCCTCCCCTCCCCTCCACCCTGCACATACCTCGATGTTGGGCACGAGCTTGAGGATCTGGTCCGTCACGCGGCACCCGTTGAGCGACCGCTGCGTCCACTCGTCCACGTTCTGCAGTATCGCCTCCTCCGATAGATCCAGGTCCTGGTGGGGAGAGGGAGAGGGAGAGGGAGAGGGAGAGGGAGAGGGAGAGGGAGAGGGAGAGGGAGAGGGAGAGGGAGAGGGAGAGGGAGAGGGAGCGCCACAGCACAGGAGCGTGGGGAGAACGTGCAGTGGGCATGAAGGTACCCAGTAGACACATGTGCGTCCACTCGTCCACGTTCTGAAGAATTGCCTCCTCTGATAGATCCAGGTCCTGGCACGCACACCACCCAGCACCCAGCAGACACATGTGAGTCAACCAGCCTGCAAATCCAGTCACGTGAATCGCCTCACCTGCCAGATGCAACTCCTGCCAGATGCAACTCCTGCCAGATGCAACTCCTGCCAGATGCAACTCCTGCCAGATGCAACTCCTGCCAGATGCAACTCCTGCCAGATGCAACTCCTGCCAGATGCAACTCCTGCCAGATGCAACCTCGGGACAACGGCGATCCACGCACCTCGGGACAACGGTGTGAACGAGGTGTGCGTAGAGCAGGTCGAAGGAGATGCCGCAGGGGCACGCAGGGCAATCCGATCCGATCAATACCAGAGGCATGCAGGAACGCGCAGCAAACACACGGACCTCTGGATCCACGCACCTCGAGAACAACGGTGTGTGCGAGCTGCGCGTAGAGCAGGTCGATGGAGATGCTGCAGGGGAGACCAATCTACTAGGAGCCGGCAGAAAGGGGAACGCGGTGCAGCAGCAGGACACACACACACCTCGAGAACAACCGTATGAGCGAGCTGTGCGTAGAGCAGGTCGATGGAGATGCCGCGGAACTTGAACTTCATCACGGGCACGTGTGCATCGGGCACCGAGTGCAGCTCCGTCACCTCGGGCAGCTGCGCCAGCATGTCGTGCAACTCGCCGAAAAAATCCTCCTGTGAGGGGGGGGCGGGGGAGAAAGGGGGAGGGGGGGGGGGGGGTGAGGGTGGTGTTGGGGAGTGCAGCTCCGTCACCTCCGCCAGCTGCGCCAGCATGTCATGTAGCTCGCCGAAAAAGTCCTCCTGCGGAGCAGCACGCAGGCGGGAGGGGGGAGGGGGGAGGGGAAGAGAAGCGGAAAGTCGGGGGGGAAGACGTGTGCATCGGGTACGGAGTGCAGAATGAGAGATGATGAATCAAAACGAAAGAGACCACTGAAGCAGCCGGACACGTGCAAGTCTCACACCTTGGTGAGACTGGCTGGAGTGAAGATGGTGGGGAGGCAACTTTTGAGTCGACTCAAAACGAGGTGACTTTTGAGTCGACTCAAAACGAGGTGACTTTTGAGTCGACTCAAAAGTCACCTTGACACGTGCAAGTCTCACACCTTGGTGTGAGTGGAGTGAAGATGGTGGGGAGGCAACGGCGGGACGGCGTACCTCCCTGGTGGCATGACGCGGGCCCACACAGAGCGTGTCGATATCGGCGCCTGGACCGTGCACCTGGGGGGGGCACGGGCACAGATCACGGGCGCGTCAGTAACGGACAGGTGGGCTGCGGAGGCACGGGCACAGATCACGGGCGGGGACGTCAGGGACGGCAGTTAGCTGACGGCAATCAGAAGGGATGGAAGAGAGGGACGGTAGCAGAAGGAACGTCAGATCACGGAGCAGAAGAGCGGAGGACAGGTGGTCCACCCTGGGCGGTAGCAGCCTGGCAGCTCACCCCGAGGCGGTAGGAGCCGAAGGTGAAGATCAAAGTGCGGAACGTAAGCGCGGGGAAAGCGAGCGCGCGGAAAGTGAGCGCGCGGAAAGTGAGCGCGCGGAAAGCGAGCGCGCGGAAAGCGAGCGCGCGGAAAGCGAGCGCGCGGAAAGCGAGCGCGCGGAGCAGAATTGCGCGGGGCAGGTGCTCACCCCGAGGCTGAAAGCCAGCGCGCGGAGCAGAATCGCGCGGTACAGGTGCTCACCCCGAGGCGGTAGGAGCCGAAGGTGAAGATCTTGGCGTTGGCGTCGGCGACGAACTGATCGTTAAAGCCCTTGCGCCGACTAACGCTCTTCCTGAGTCGACTCAAAACTCACCCCGAGGCGGTAGGAGCCGAAGGTGAAGATCTTGGCGTTGGCGTCCGCGACGAACTGATCGTTAAAGCCCTTGCGCCGACTCACGCTCTTCACCCACACCTTCACTATCTGCGACGCGACGTGGGAGGACAACACCAAAACACACACACGCACACGCACACGCACACGCACACGCACACGCACACGCACACGCACGCCGATGCACAGGGGGACACAGATGCACTCAGGATATTCAGAAAGAGACAGAGACATGCACGCTCCGCAACCACGCTCCGCACGCACGCCTTCACCACCCGCGCGACCGACGTATAAACAAAACGAGATGGAGATGCAGCATGTGTATCACATCGCGAATACCAGAGGGAGAAGCAAGACGCACTCACGCGCCTCAGAGGGACCCATCGATCAAGCACTCCAGATCGTCCACAATCCACCGCCGGATAATCGTAAAAACTGATTTCTTACTAAAAAGGCATCAAAAGCACAATCGTTTGAAAAGCCGAAGGTGCTGCGGTGCGTTTCGGAAAAAACGCACGTGGCGGTGCGATTCTTTTAAATGCTCAGCGCGAACTAACCTCGTCGAGGCGACCGAGAACCTCCTCTCGCAAGATGGCCTCGTCTTGGCTCTCGTACAGCCCCGCATCCACCAGAAACTGCACACGCCAGCCCAGCAAGCAACGCGTCAGCACGCCATCAACGCGTCAACACGGCGTCAACGCGTCAGCACGCCATCAACGCGTCAACACGGCGTCAACGCGTCAACACGGCATCAACGCGTCAGTGCCTCGTCAACACTAGAAGCCTCATATGATATCGACATGCGGTGGAAGGAAGGCAGACATGGGAGCAGAGATCCTGCAAGCTGGCAGCGAAGATCCGCGCATCTCGCGCGTCTGGCGCGTTTGACAATCTCGCGCATCTGGAAAGTCTAGCGCATCTCGCACGGGATCACCTTCTCGAGCTCTTTCGTCCGTTGAACGTCCTGCGGCGAGGGTCCTGCGAGGGATATGGGATTGACGCTCGCCATAGCCCCGCGCGAGGACTCGCTCGCCACGCCGCTCCCACACTGTCGACTAGCCCGCAGAAGACACGTCCCGAGAACTAACTACTAGATAAGCTTAGAACTAAAGCCTGGGGAAGTGAGTATGAGTGTTTTGAGAGTTGTTTTCTGGGAACTTGCGTCGTAGTCGCTCGCAACGAACCGAACTGCACCGTGGCAGAGCATGCAAATACCGATGATTTCTGGGCTCTCTGTTTGTGAGTTGGAGGAAGGGCAGGGTTGGAGCAAGGCAGAGGCGGATTGATGAGGGAGATGGGGCCAGGCGGTGATGGTAGGGGAGATTTGGAAGCGCGGGAAACCCGACATCTAGCTGTCACGGTGTTGACGGACGTCAGATGATCGCAATAGGCGATATTGTCAGCAGTTTGAAGTTGGAATGGAATACCCATGCATATATGCGGTGTATAAACACGTTTAATTATATCTGGTTATACAAATACCAACAACATAGCATACAAGTACAAAGCAAGTCTAACGCCAAAACGCAGCTTCTAAGCCAATTAATAGATGGGAACTCTATTGGAGCCCTCGCTTCAGAATAGAGGGGCTGCATGAAGGGCCCTACAGTATTAGTAGGCCCAATCAACCGTTGACTTTAGCACTTGAACAGGGGAAGAATGTTGGGGAAGCCCTTAACGAATCCGCCACCAACGAGACCTCCAGATTTCCTGGTGGACTTGGTCAGAACAGACGTGTAGTATTCCGACACGATGCCCGTATCCACAGCCTGCATCACATCCAGAATCGTGCCGCTGCCGCCACGAGGCGCGATCTTCTCAATGGCCGTCAGCTTGAAGTCCAGCTTGTACGAGCCGCCACCGCCGCTCCAGGGCTTGTTGATGAGCCACGACACGCCCGTGTTGCTTCCGAACTTGCCCTTGCCGATCACGATCGCGACAGGGGGCTCCGGGAACCCGCTCAGCTCCGCAGTCACCGACAGGTCGAACGACTCGTCTGAGCTGCCCCTGCGAGGGAGAAGAGCGCGGGAGAGAGGCGGAAGGAATTTAGAGGGACGGCACGGGTTCGAGGCGGAGAAGCGAGCTGGGAAGGAAAGAGGAAGATGATAGGGGAAGCTGTGGCGGAATGGCGGAAGCTGTGGCGGTATGGCGTAGACTTTTGAGTCGACTTAAAAATAGCGAAAGCTGTGCCGGAATGGCGTAGACTTCTGAGTCGACTAAATGCTTTCGAAAGCTGTGGCGGAACGGCGTAGCCAGAATACGTACTTGTACTCCTTGAGGGTGAGTTTGCCAGTGGGAAGCGACTTGGTGGACTTGCCGCTCTTCTTCGACTGCGTCTTCATGTTGTCCGTCACGTCCCAATTCGAGTACAGCACGCCTGCGACAACGTGCGACAACAAGCGACGATGAAGGGAAACACGCATCGATCAGTACGACAGCTGGCGAGAGCAAGTTATGACAGAGCGAGAGGAGAGATATCCGAAGGCGAGAAGAGAGCGGGACGACGGCGGAAACAGAGTGGGGTGAGGGCACGACGAGAGCCAAGTTAGTTGAGCGGCGCACTCACATTTCGGTGCGGCGGCGAGAGTGAGGAGCGCGGACGCGAAGAGCACCCCAAGGACGAGTGCGCCTGGAGGGGGGAAAGGGTGCGGAGGGGAGCACAGCGATGAGTGCGGGTTGTGAAGGCCGTAATGCGACACGCAGGGAGCGGAGGACGAGAGTAAGGGCATCTCTGGTAACAGGGAGGAGCATCTCGGATTTAGAAGCGCTGGTGACGGAGCGAGAGCATTGCTGATGACAGCGCGACGAGCGAAGGATTCGGAATGAATTCGAGCGGGAGCTTTGATGACGACAGCAAAGACTGACGAGATTGAGATGCACGAAGGTTGGGACGGAGGGGATTAGAGTCGAATCGAAAGGTCGATAGAAAAAGGATTGAGCGATCCACGCACCTTTTGCAGAGACTAGAGGAGCCATGAGATAAACTATGCAATGAATGCAACGGGTGTGAATTGCTTGGTGACGTTTGTACTGGTGTGAGGACTCAGATGGCGAAGGAACGATGGTAGAGGATATATTGATCATCGGAGATAAAGAGCCTTTATATTGTCTGATGCCCGCTGGGGCGTGCTCGCGACACGAAGCGCGTGCTAAACGTGGGAAGCTTGTTGAGCAAGCCAAAGCGGCCACGCTGGCAATGGTGGTGGAGTGGACACACTGAATTGGGGTATCCTGGAGCGGGGCTGGTGGATGGAAGGCGAAGGCGGGTCTAGGGGGGCCAAGGTGGCTCGCTCGTTGTATGATGTTCGTGCGAAACTGAATTCATCCTGGCACGAACTTGGTAGGGGTGGAACCAGACCAAAATTGCGTCAGGGGAATGTGGTGGGGTCTGCCTGTACTTCGCTAGGGCAATGTTCGTGCGCCAGGTGGGAAAATACCGAAGCGCGTCGAACGAGGAGGAGGTGTACGGGTTGAGAATTTTGAGTTTGTACGAAACCATTTCGCATGTGCGAACTGAAACAAGAGTTGGCGAAATGCTCGACAACTCACCTGGGAAGGGTAAATAATATATGGGATATGCGGGGTCTCGCTAAAAGTGAAAGCCCAACCCGGGTGGTCTGAGCAATAATCAATTTAATAGTTCAAAAGGCAAGAAGCTAGCTAGCTATTGAACTATTCTACACGAAGGATTTAGAGAACTCTACAGCGTACTCAAGCTAGGAGGGGAGGTACGACCAGGGGAGTGGAGATGCTACCAGGGGAGTGAAGGTGAGAAGAGGAGAGGGGCGGCGAGACGAGGGGAGGCGCGACGACGGGGGAGGGGAAGCGCGACAATGAGACATGAGGCGTGGCGAGGGGCGGCGTGATGAGGGTGCTGGCACGACGACAGGAGGTGATGAGGCTCACGAGAAGACATGTGACGAATGGAGGGGTGGCGCGACGATGGGAGTTGAGACGCAACGAGGGGAGTGTTGGAATAACCGGAAGGTTATTATAACATTCCCGAAGGTTCTCTTCCAGCGCGTCACTTCATAACGAAGCAGCGCTGTTGTACCAGTACCGCAATAGCTCATATAGAGCATGCGGCACCTCGAGAGTCACTCGAAGGTCAACAGTCACAGTAGGTCAACAGTCGTGACTGTTGACCGCCCAGTAACCGTACTCGGAGGTTACACAATCGAAATCAAAAACTCGAAATCTCCCAGATTATGTGGATCCAAATGGTTAGAAACTAATGTTGTTGAAGTAGAAGGCCTAATCTAGTGGACTGGCAAGAAAATGGTACTAAATGTATCTCTACCAACATAAGTAATGCGCTGGTCAGTTTGGTCGGTATGCGCACCTATAGTGCAGGTACCATGCACGACTGGAATGCCTATATCTTCGGAAATGCATAGATCCAAAAGGTTATAACCTGGTAGGGAGGTGGGAAATGGTTTAATTTAGTGGAAAGGAAAAACAAATACGATATTAACTGTATTTCTACAGAGAAAATGATGCGTTGGTCTGTTCGGTCAGTATGCACGCTTGTGTGCAGGTACAAGGCGGAGCTGGAACTCTGAAATCTCCCAAATTATGTGGATCCAAATGGTTACAACCTAGTGTTGTTGAAGTAGAAGGCCTAATCCAGTGGACTGGCAAGAAAATGGTACTAACTGCATCTCTACAAACATAAGTAACTCGCTTGTCAGTTTGGTCGGTATGCGCGTCTGTAGTGCAGGTACCATGCACGACTGGAATGCCTATATCTTCCGAAATACATAGATCCAAAAGGGTAGAACATGGTAGGGAGGTGGGAAATGGTTTAATTTAGTGGAAGAGGAAAAAATATATGGTATTCAATGTATTTCTACAGAGAAAATGATGGGTTGGTCGGTTCGGCCAGTATCCACGCTTGTGTGCAGGTACAAGGCGGAGCAGGAACTCTGAAATCTCCCAATTTGTGTGGATCCAAATGGTTAGAACCTAGTGTTGTTGAAGTAGAAGGCATAATCTAGTGGACTGGCAAGAAAATGGTACGAACTGCATCTCTACAAACATAAGTAATGCGCTGGTCAGTTTGGTCGGTATGCGCACCTGTAGTGCATGTACCATGCACGAGTGGAATGCATATATCTTTGAATTACATAGATCCCAGAGGTTAAAACCTGGTAGGGAGGTGGGAAATGGTTTAATTTAGTGGAAATGGAAAAAAAAAATAGTATTCACTGTTTTTCTACAGAGAAAATGATGTATTGGTCGGTTCGGCCAGTATGCACGCTTGTGTGCAAGTACAAGGCGGGGATGGAACTCTGAAATCTCCCAAATTATGTGGATCCAAATGGTTACAACCTAGTGTTGTTGAAGTAGAAGGCCTAATCTAGTGGACTGGCAAGAAAATGGTACTAGCTGCTGCGGAGATAACTACTACAACGGGAGCTAGACTACGGGGAAGGCACGAGTGTAGGAGTATTCATAGCGTTCCTTAGTCGTTTGTTTTTGTTCTCTCTACTTGCACATTCAAGGGGAGAATTGGCAAGAGTTTCACTAGCAAAAGTTCACAACAATGATAACAACAAAGTTGGCAAGCAAGACTACATCAGATGCTAGCATGCATGTAGATCGACTGCCAGCGCAGCACTGTCGACCGCGTTCCAGCACTGCAAGGTTCACCGCGCTCCAGCAGTGCAAAGTCGCGGTCTGCCAACGCTGCAAGTTGACGGCGTGCCAATGCTGCAGCAAGGCGGCTGCACAGTGTTGCACTCGCAAGACAGCAGCGCACCCGCTTCGCAGGTGCTCGCAGGTGGTTGGCGTGCTATGCCCCGTCACGTGCACAGCGCAGACACCATGTTATCCACGTGCTGTTGACTGCACCTAATCCGCCACGTCGACCTTGGGATACCACCACCGAGGTAGGCTTTGCCAAAAACACCTGGGCGACTATCGCGCACCTCCGCAGACCCCGTTGTTCGGGTAACCTGGTCGACCAGGCAACCACGTCGACCAGTTGCTTCTCCTCGTGCCCATCGACCACCTAGGTCGACGAACACCTCTTCTCGACTTCACCAAGTCGACCGCACCCAGCCGGCTTCCCCAGATCGGCGCCACCAAGTCGACGCCCTTCCAGGTCGACCTCCCAAGTCGACCTCCCGTAGAAGTCGTCCGCCGGCGTCCCTTAGTCGGCGGCATCGAAGTGGCCCCGTGCAGATCGACCAAACCCGTCGACCAGCTCGCCCTAGTCAGCGTCGCCCACTGCAGGATGTCGGCTGCACCTCCCGTACACCCGACAACGAAGTCGGCTCCAGCCAAGCGAGGACGGGGCCAACACATAACTCCCGTTGACAACTGCATCTCTACAAACATAAGTAATGCGCTGGTCAGTTTGGTCGGTATGCGCGCCTATTGTGCAGGTACCATGCACGACTGGAATGCCTATATATGCCGAATTACATAGATCCAAAAGGTTAGAACATGGTAGGGAGGTGGGAAATGGTTTAATTTAGTGGAAAAGGAAAACATATATGGTATTCACTGTAACTCTACAGAGAAAATTATGCGTTGGTTGGTTCAGTCAGTATGCACGCTTGTGTGCAGGTACAAGGCGGAGATGGAACTCTTAAATCTCCAAAACTATGTGGATCCAAATGGTTAGAACCGAATGTTGTCGAAGTAGAAGGCCTAATCAAGTGGACTGGCAAGAAAATGGTACTAAACGCATCTCTACAAACATAAGTAATGCGCTGGTCCGTTTGGTCGGTATGCGCGCGCGTAGTGCAGGTACCATGCACGACTGGAAGTCCTATATCTGCCGAATTACATAGATCCAAAAGGTTAGAGCCTGGTAGGGCGGTAGGAAATGGTTTAATTTAGTGGAAAAGGAAAAAATGCATGGTTTCTCTGTATTCTACAGAGAAAATGATGCGTTGGTTGGTTCAGTCAGTATGCACGCTTGTGTGCAGGTACAAGGCGGAGCTGGAACTCTGGAATCTCACAAATTATATGGATCCAAATGGTTAGAACCTAGTGTTGTTGAAGTAGAAGGCATAATCTAGTGGACTGGCAAGAAAATGGTACAAACTGCATCTCTACAAACATAAGTAATGCGCTGGTCAGTTTGGTCAGTATGCGCGCCCGTAGTGCAGGTACCATGCACGACTGGAATGCCCATATCTGCCGAATTATATAGATTCAAAAGGTAAGAACCTGGTAGGGCGGTGGGAAATGGTTTATTTTAGTGGAAAAGGAAAAAATGCATGGTTTCTCTGTATTCTACAGAGAAAATGATGCGTTGGTTGGTTCGGTCCGTATGCACGCTTGTGTGCAGGTACAAGGCGGAGCGGGAACTCTGAAATCTCCCAAATTATGTGGATCCAAATGGTTAGAACCTAGTGTCGTTGAAGTAGAAGGCCTAATCTAGTGGACTGGCAAGAAAATGGTACTAACTGCATCTCTACAAATATATGTAATGCGCTGGTCAGTTTGGTCGGTATGCCCGTCTGTAGTGCAGGTACCATGCACGACTGGAATGCCTATATCTGCCGAATTTCATAGATCCAAAAGGTTAAAACCTGGTAGGGAGCTGGAAAATGTTTAATTTAGTGGAAAAGGAAAAAACAAAATATGGTATTCGCTGTATTTCTACAGAGAAAATGATGCGTTGGTCGGTTCGGCCAGTATGCACGCTTGTGTGCAGGTACAAGGCAGAGATGGAATTTGAAATCTCCTAAATTATGTGGATCCATCGGTTAGT